AGTGTTTGAAAAGCATAATGGCATTTTTTCTTTTTCTTTCTTTCTTCTTCTTCTTCTTCTTTTTTTAATTACAACTGGAAATTTCAAAAGCCAAACAAACTGTCTGCAATGTAAGATTATCTTGCCCAAAATGTTCCCAGCCCCTCTCCTGAGAAACACTGGCGCCCAACCAAACTACAAATTCCTCAGGAACCAGCCTAGGTACCACTTTTGGGGGGAATTCTATTCTGATTAATATAAATTGACTTAGTTTCTGCTTTTATCTGCTTCTATAATAGGAGTATGCTGAACCTACCCTTATCTTTATATTTATCACCACGTAAAGTAATAAACTGTTTATGTATCTGTTACACCTACCAGAAAAAAAAATTATAATTTATCCTGTGCTTCAAAAATGGTAAAATCCTAAATGCTTAATTAAATTTGCTTACCAGCTTTGACTGGTTTGGCTCAGTGGATAGAGCATCGGCCTGCAGACTCAAGGGTCCCAGGTTTGATTCCGGTCAAGGGCATGTATCTTGGTTGCGGGCACATCCCTAGTGGGGAGTGTGCAGGAGGACAGCTGATCCATGTTTCTGTCTTATGGATGTTTCTAACCCTCTATCCCTCTCCCTTCTGCTCTGTAAAAATCAATAAAATATATTTTTAAAATAAATAAATAAATAACTTTGCTTACCAGAGTGAGCAACCCCACATGCTCTTTTGATAGGATCTGCAAAAACCATTGGTATACAGTCAGCACCAAGAGCTGCTATTGTGACTCCTCTCTGGTTTGTGGTGATTCCATCGTAAGATTCCGGCTCCTTCCTTCCCATAACCCAGACAGCATTGGCATGATCTGTCTAATACCAAAGATGTGCAAATAAAAATGTTTTCAAAGTAGGATTTCTCAGACCATAAGCTTTTCTGGAAATATTCATTTTGTATAAAATTATATAACCAGTTTAAAATTATTAGCATTGGTTGAATATATCACTTCTGTATTTGGTAAAATACCAATTTATTATCATTTAAACTTAGGTATTATAATTTCTGCATATTTTATTCAAAGGACAGCAGACTTTAACATGTTAAAGTTCAATACTGTCCTTCATGAATACCTCCTACTAGAGTCAGTAAATCTCTACATGTAGTACTTTCCACAATGAACTAATTCATTGAATTGAAAGAAATTAATTACCATGTCAATGTTATTTTTACTTTTCCTAGATTCAATTAAAACTAGAATTTTGTAACAAACAAAGCACTATCTCATCAACTGTGCCCTGGTGTTAACTTAGAAAATAATGGCCTTTCTCTTTCACAGTTCAGGAACCTTACTTCTAAATAATAAACGGCAGTGATACTATATTCTCTAAGAGTTAACTGTACTTTTACATGTGAGGAGTTCCAGGTGAATGAATTTATATATACAAATATATGTGTGTGTGTATATATGTGTGTGTGTGTATATATGTATATATATATATGTGTGTGTGTGTGTGTGTGTGTGTGTGTGTGCATACATACACACATACATATATACACACATACATATATACACACACACGATACAGAATTGCCATATATGTGTGCATACATATATGACAATTCTATGTGTGAATACACACACACACACACACACACACACAAATAGAATTGATTTTTAGGCTATGGTATACAGATCAAAAAACATCAACTGTAAGAATTATCCTAACATTTTACATAAAACACCAGATGCAAAAACTAAGTAGCTTGTTTAAGATCCATTAATCATTAGCAGGATGAGTAATATTCTTCAGATCTTTCAAAATATGAAACATAATTTTACCTTTATTCTGTAAAATTTCTTCACATTAAATCCTGCAGCATTCCCCAACCTACGCAGATTTTCTTGAACAACTACCTGAGGATCTCTTCGCTTGGAACTACTGAAGAGATTGAATGAGCTGAGAGTTGGTATGTAAGATATCCCACCTGTTCTTGTAGTAAATCCATGTATGAAAATATCTATTGAAGATAATGAAGATTAAAAGTATGTTATACAAAAGACTATAAAAAGCATTACAGACCCTATCTCTTGGTAAGACTTTCCCTGATCATTTCAGCCTGCTTTTCTTTATCTAGCATCTAATGTTTATAGCACTTTGTACCTCCGTATGTTCTTATCATACACTGCTTTGTGTTTGTTTTACCTTTCCTATGGATTTATTGCTCTTCAAAGGGTATCATCTGTCCTATTTGTTTTTGTTATTCCCAATAGTCTATAGCTCATAATAAATATCACTTAACCAAGAAGATTGACTGTTTTAAATTTCACTCTTTTGTAATGATGACAATGAGTAAAGATTTCAGAATTGCTAAATAGGAAATTTCATTTAAAGGAAGCCTGGGAATTTGTCTTAAAGCTGAATTTGCATAAAGCAAAATTATTTATGTAGAAGGCTTTTAAGGGACTATCCCTTAATATCCCTAACTCTACCAGACCACCCATGACTTTCCCATGTTTCAACTGATAGTAATGAGCACATAAGCCCACACAGTCTACAAAAGAAAAAAGGAAAAAAAGACGTGAACAACTTCTAAAGAATGACTGTTTTTTTCAAATGCCTGGTGAAAAACAACAGATAGTGTGTAAAATACCTGAGATCAAAGGAGATGTGATAATGGTTAATTCTCCTTTCAGTGCTGGCAGACTTCTCAAATATGTTTCTATTTCATTCTGTACAGCTTCCAGTTCTTGAGTTGTGATCACATTTATCTCAGTGGACTGTTTCAAAAGACCTCCCTTCAAAGTTACCTGTAAGTCTTCAAACTCAAAATTGTAAACTTGAGTGAAGAGTTGATCAATAAAAGCCTTCATTAATGTCTTCCGGTGCATGGGTACAATTACCTTAATGCTGCTCAGATTTTTTTCATCAATTTTTTGTTTAATGGCATACAAAGAGGCAGCCATACTGGGATTGCTAACAATCTCAAAGTCTCTCAGGAGAGCTGATAATCCATTGGCTGTTTCTAATTCGTAAGTATCAAGGTCACCTTTCCTTTCACAGCTGATGTCACTGCAGCACATTATGCAAAGGAACTTGGCCTTGGCAGCATGGTGGGATCTCACAGCATTCAATGTCTTCAGTAATGTCTGGTAGCTTTTCTGAGAGTTCAATGTCAAACCAAATAGATCAATCAACACTGCTTCTGACATTTCTTCAGTTATTGTACGAAGCTCTTCAAAGAAGACTTTTGTGCCCCCCCCACAAAAAAAATCACCTGTAAAGAAATATTAGCATAAATAAGAATGCAAAATTAGATCAATCTTATAGTTACAACAGGAATATATGGCTAAAAATGTGACCAGAATTGTAACTCTAGACCCCTTCCAGAAAAGTCAGAAAATTGTCATAAGAGAATCATGACAATTAAAGCAAAGCTATTTCTTTTTATTTATTTTTTATTTTATTGATTTTTTTACAGAGAGAAGGAGTGAGGGATAGAGAGCTAGAAACATCGATGAGAGAGAAACATCCACCAGCAGCCTCTTGCACACCCCCTACCGGGGATGTGCCCGCAACCAATGTACATGCCCTTGACCGGAATGGAACCCGGGACCTTTCAGTCCGCAGAACGATGCTCTACCACTGAGCCAAACCAGTTTCGGCGCAAAGCTACTTCTTAATTCATTTTCCAAAAGGATATGTACATCTTTCCAGGAAATCAACAGTTCCTCTGTTTTTGTTTTTATATAGGGAATTTTAAATAGGAATTTACCTGTTGACTTAGACAAAGTCCTGTTTTTAAGCTACATGGTATCAATTTAAGTAAGTGATATATCATTAATCCTGACATGACTGTCCTGTTAGGTCACATGCCTTCATAAGAAATACGGGGGCCTTGCGTTCAGCATGTGAAACGGAGCTGCACTTTAAAAACCTCGTTTTTACGAGATAAAAGCTGACATGACCATACATTTCTCTCCAGGATTTACACAATGCTCCAGGCATGGCAATGGCCACAAGGCGCCTGCGATCTGCAGGAGACGCGCTTCCCATCTGCAGCCTCCTCCTCCTCCCAGGCGGGCGCGGACCTTCCACCTCAGCCCGCCTCCCACCAGCCCGTCTCCGGGGACCCCCTTCCCTGACTCCCGGCCTCGGCTTCCTCTCGCTCCCTACCGTCCAGGACTCCCGCTCGGGTGCACCGCGCCGGTTTTGAAAATATTAAGAGCAGAGCGGGGTGACCGGGAAATTCCACAGAGCGCGTCTGTCACAGGCGGCTCCAGGCCGCCCCGTCTCCACCCGCCCGGACCCGCCCCGCCCCTCCCGGCGCCCCGCCCCGCGGGGGACTTCCAAGCGGACCACGCCCTCCACGGGCCCCGCCCCTCCAGGCGGCCCCGCCCCTCGGGGGCTTCCAGGCGGACCACGCCCTCCTGGGGCCCCGCCCCTCCCGGCGCCCCGGCCCGCGGGAACTTCCAGGCGGACCACGCCCTCCGCAGGCCCCGCCCCCCGCCTCCCGCACTACACCTGGGCTCGCAAAGCCCGCGGCCTGCGGTGAGGCTCGTCCCCCCCCACCCCACCCCACCCCAACTCACCCCAACTCACCCCAACTCACCCCATCCCAAAACCCGCCCCCATCCCGAGCCCAGCCCACGGCACCCGGAAGCCGCGGGCGAGTCCCCTGAAGTCTCAGTCGGGCTCCGCGCCGCCTCACCCACCTCAGCGCGGGCCCTGCCGACCCCACTGTCTGCGGACGGACCGCCGGGCCCGCCTGCCTGGGCCCCGCGTCTGCGGACGGACCGCCGGGGAGGCGAGCGGCTGGGAGGCCGGGGCGAGTGGGGAGGCGGCGGGCGGCGGAGTCAGCAGTTCTGGTGAAGGCGGCCCGTGGAGTCCGCTCCCCAAGGCCCCTGGAGGGAAGAACAGGAACCAGAATGCCCAAAGGGCCTTCGCGCCGGAGCCGGGCGGGCGGTGGGCGGGAGGGGAGGGCGGCGGGCGGGGAGCCGGGGCGAGAGGGGCGCGGGCGGGAGTCCCGGGTCCCCAGGCGCCGACTCCGCGCGGCCCGGCCGCCTTCCTCGCAGCGCGGACGGCTGGCTGCCCCGCTGTGGGGTCGGGAAGACAGGGCCGTAGCACCTGGCAGTTTGTTTGGTCCGGGGTTTAAGTCATGGACCTCCTAAGGGAGGTTTTTGTTTTCTGTTTTTAGTTTCAGAAACGACTTAGTGGATGGAACCGTGCATCGCCGTTCTTGTCGGGACCAGCACTGCCCGCTCCTCCCGGCGCTGACAGGTGCTCCGCTCGCCCTTAAACCCGCCGCCGGCCGCCCGGGTGGGAGCAGCAGCTCCGCGCCTGAAGGTCCCGGGTGGGATTCCTGGTCAGGGGTGTGTGTGGCGGGGGGCAAGGGGGAAAACAGACATTCTGTCTCCCATGGATGTCTCTCTGTCTCCCTCTCCCTTCCTCTAAAAATCAATGAAAACATATCCTTAGGTGAGGATTAAATAAATAAAAATATGTGCCACTAGTAGAAAATTAGAAGCTACTAACCATTAAAATTGTGGTAACAGTGCAAGTTAGCATACTCTATCAGCCCCCAAGGAGTATAGCATTCATTTATTTAAAGTTTTTTAAAAACATATTATGTGGAAGATGGATGCCATGGTAAAGAGTAGGAGAAAGATGCCTAAACCGGTTTGGCTTAGTGGATAGAGCATCTGCCTGCGGGCTGAAAGGTCCCAGGTTGGATTCCGGTCAAGGGCAAGTACCTTGGTTGTGTTAGAAACATAGATCAGCGTTTTTCAACCGCTGTTCCGGTGAGCCGTAGGTGCAGACAAGAATTTTATAATTTTTCACTATTTTGTTTACTTAATATTTCATAATAATTATAAAATACTTTCTTTGTGTTTATTTGATTCCTATTCAAGAGAATTACTTTATATATAGTCAATATAGGCACAGAGTTAAATTTTTTAACATTTTCTAATGGTGGTGTGCCTCGTGATTTTTTTCGTGAAACAAGTGTGCCTTTGCCCAAAAAAGGTTGAAAAACACTGACATAGATCAGCTGCCTGTGCAGGAGGCGGCTGATCGATGTTTCTAACTATCTCTCTCCCTTCCTCTCTGTAAAAAATCAACTATATATATATATATATATATTTTTTTTATTTTTTTTTTTTTAAAGAGTAGGAGAAAGGTTATTTTTAGTGGAACTGGACATGATGGAAGGAAGGGATTCCTTTAATTTTATAGTCGCTCAGATAATAAGGGCCAAAGAAGCTTTACCTGAAAGAGAAAGGATCTTGGATATCTGGGGCCAGTGCTTCTATGTGATTAGAGAATGGGATCACTAACCCAGAATAGGCGATCTTTTAGTTACAAAACCAGTTTAACACATTTATCCCTGTTTTTATAGAAAAGGGTGGGAATTAATTGTCTTCCATGTAACAATAGTGACAGTAAAAAATTTAAAAAATATATATTTCAATGTAGAGCAGCTGTCAGGGAAGAGAGATTTGTCATTCTGTTTTATTGACTTACTGTTTTCTTTCATCCGGTCCTACTGCTCATCTCCTAACAATCTCTTACCTCATCTCCAGTTACCAACTGCCATGATCTCAACCCTGGCTGCACATCAGGATGACAAGTAGAACTTTGAAAAAATAAACGCAGCCCTAGCTGGTTTGGCTCAGTGGTTGGATCATTGGCCCATGGACTGAAGGGCTTTGGGTTTGATTCGGGTCTAGCTCGGTTGGCCGCCAGCCCAATCCCTGGCCCTGGTCAGGGCGCAGGCAGGAGGCAACCAATATATGTTCCTCGCTCACATCAGTGTTTCTGTTTCCCTTCCACTCCAAAAATCAATAGGAAAAATATCCTCTAGTGAGGATTAATAATCAATCAGTAAATAAATAAATAAATGAATGAATAAATGAATAAATAAATAAATACAGGGGCTCCATTCCAGATATACATTTGAAACATTCTCTGGTCGTCAAGTCTAGGCATGTTTTGCTTTCTTTTGTTTATCTCTACAAATGATTCAAATGCATAATTAGGTTTGAAAAAAACAACTTCCCCATTCCCAAGCCACTCAAACTCAAGGCTGTTCCCTTGGGAGGGCCACATGATTTCATCCTTTACATATACTATTTCTTCATTTAGAATACTCTTCTGTCTCTTTTGAAAAAATCTATCTTTATTGTTGAAAGCATTACAGGTGCCTCCTCTTCCCCCCATTGGTTCCCTTCACTTATTTGTTACTTCTTCTACACCCTTCAAATTCATACATACCCTTCCTTGAATTCCCATTTCCTCACCAAGTGGAATTAATTGCTTTGTTAGCGTTTTGTTCACACAGAAGAAGCTCTCTCCTAGATGCAGCCTGGACCTATAGCCAAGCAATAAATTGGAGGAAAAAAATTAACCACTGAATTGTACACTATATTTGTAAGGATAAACTTGCTGTATATAAATTATATCTAAATAAATCTGTTTAAAAGGAAAGTCAGTCAAACCAGAGAGCCATGAAAAAGTATAACATAAATACCTTAAACATTTTGTTTTATCCTAAAACAACTGTTTCATTTGTCACTCGTTTGAGAAAGCCAGAATCTTTTCTTTATACATGGCCTGATGAATAAATAGAGTTTTGCATTGTATCTCTTACATAAGCTATGTCTAAATCATCAGTTAAGCTATCCCAAGATTTTCTTCCTTTAGGAGGAAAATACCTGCATGATACTTGTGAAGCTGAGTAAGATCTCTTCTTTATAATCTTTCATTGTATCTAACATTCAAAAAACTCACCTTTATCGGGTGCTGCCAAAATATTAAACATAGATTTTAAACTAACAGCAAACTTTACTTCCACTCTATTTCATTGGTTTATATAACATTAAATTGTGAAAGCACAGCAACAAGTACAACTGGCATAAACAGATTTGGGAACAAACACAAGTAACCTCTCCGAGTGTACAAATCAATTGGTTAGGAGCAGAACTGGGCAGGCTCTCTACAAAGGACCTTCTTAAACATGTAGCATTAAGCATAATATGGGAATTAGCAACTTATGATTTATAAAATAAATAGAATGAGTTAATTGGTTAGAGATTGTTATTAGACTTAGACAGTATCTCCCTTACTTCCTACATTTTAATTATTTGACTATGTGTCTCCTTCTACAGAGACTTAGAACATTTTGATGGCAGAGATAGTTCCTGGGTGTTAAGGGGGAACTATTGGGGAAATCCCCAGACATTTTTATATTACCATGTAAATCTTCTCATGAGAACAAGTGGAATTAAAAAAAAATCTGAACAGTTGTTTTTAAGCCATTTACATTAAGGTCTATGAGTACTTCCAGAAAAAGACATATAACATGAAATTTTTTTTGTTACAAGCTCTGTTAGTTTTCTAAGATTGTCATAATAAATTACCACAGATTAGATGGCTTTAAATGACAAAAATGTATTCTCTCATAGTTATGGAAGCAGAAGTCTCAAATCAAGGTGTTGTGAGGACTGTGCTGCCTTCAAAGTTTCTGGTGGCTCCATGACTTAGGGCTCTATATCTTCATCCTTACATGGTCTACTTTCCTGTGTGTCTGAGTATCAAATCCCCCTCTATTTTTCTTGAATAAGGAGATGAATGTGGAAATAAAAACCCACCATATAAGAACAAAGTTTATTAATTCACAGCTTGCTGGAGCAAAGGAGCCAGCCACCATCACTTACATTTTGGCAGAGACTCAAAGGCAGGCAGAGAACTGGGAAGGGAAAGCTTTACCAGTATAGTGGAAGAAGGAAAATCTTTAAGTATGCCCTGATTGGAGGTTGTCGGCATGGTTGAACTAACTAGAAGCAGGAGGCCCTATATCATTGGTTAAGGATGCATATTTGTTTTTGTCTGGTTGATCTCAAGGTGGAAGTGGGGACAAAAATTAGGGAAACTATCAGTTATTAATCAAGCACTGGCCATTTGGAGCCAACTGTTACAGGGGTTGTTTCATTTTCTCAATTGTTATTATTAGAGATTATGGTCTTAATTTCCTATAAATCTGATTTGCAGATTTAAAAATGGCTTTTTGTGCTGGTTATTTTAGATAATAGATGGGTGGGTCATGGTTTCCTGGGTTCGTTGCTTCAGATTGTGAGTCACAGTTCTATTTTTATATATAGCCTGGTCACTGCATATCCAGTCTCTCGTCAGCCATTTACTAGGTGTACTGGTTAATCATGGTGGATTTTGTAATCAAAGAAAACACGATAATTTCAAGAAAAACATCAAAAGTGCTTTATTCAAAGTAATGTCCATCGCTAGCTACACATTTCTCCCATTTTTCAGGTAATTTGTGGATACCGTCCCAATAAAACTTTTCTTGTTTTGAGGCAAACCATTCAGAGACCCAATTTTCCACTTCCTCATATGTTTGAAGTGCTGCTCAGAAAGTTCATGTGCCATTGATCAGAACAAGTGGTAATCTGAAGGAGCAAGGCCTGGTGAATACAGTGGGTGGGTTAATACTTCCCAGGCAAGATCTTTTAACGTGTCTTTAATTGGTTTTGAAGTGTGTGATAGGGCATTATCCTGAAGCAAAATTACTTTACCAGAATGTATTCTGCACATTCTTGTCATTTCATAATCAAAGTGTGGTTCAAATTGATTATCTGTTGTAGATAGCAATCAGTATTAACTGTTTTACCTGGTTTTAGAAGCTCATAATACACCACACCTTTCTGATCCCACCAAATGCAGAACATTGTCTTCTTTCCAAAGCCATTCAGTCTTGAAGTTTATGTTGATGGTTGACCTGGATCAACCCATGATTTTGTGCATTTGGGATTCTCAAAATCGACTTTTCATCGCCAGTCACAATTGTATGTAAAAAAAAACTTGTTCATGCCATTGAACCAACATTTTACTGATGACTTTTCAGTTATCCATTTGTCTTTCATCAGTTGATAAGGCAACCATTTTCCTTCCTTTAAAATCTTTCCCATTGCTTGTAAACAATCAGAAATTGTTTGCTGAGCAACATTTAATCTTTCTGAAGGTTGTTTTTGAGTTTGACACCTATTTTCATTGAACTATGCTTGTAACTGTTGGTCTTCAAACTTTTTCGGTTGACCTTGACGTTCTTTGTCTTTCACATAGAAATCATCACCTTTAAAGCTTTTAAACTAGCATTCACAAGTATCTTGAGATGGAGCATGTTCACCATAAGCTTCCCGAAGTATTCAGCAGCACTTTTCTTTAAAATATTTAATTAAAACTTCCCACAATGCTTTTTTTTTGGGGGGGGGGGCATGAAATTTGACATTTTTAAGCATAAAAATATCTATGATGTTAATACCTTCAGCAAATTTGACATGAAGTTTTGAAACTTGCTGTCAATACAACAAAATAGCATACATATCAAATCACATATATCAACATATGTGTAACTCATCTATTGAAAAAAATTTGCATTATTAACTGGTATACCTAGTACATTGTTCTCAAGTATACATGGGTCACTGGATCTTTCTCAAAGGTAGACCACATCTTAGGACACAAAACAAGTCTCTACGAATTCAGGAAGATTGAAATCATATCAAGCACCTTCTCAGATCATAATAGAATGAAATCAGAAATCAACTACAGCTGAAACTGGTTTGGCTTATGGTAGAGCGTCGGTTTGCAGACTGAAAGGTCCCGGGTTCAATTCCGGTTGCGGGCACATCCCTGGTGGGGGATGTGCAGGAGGCAGCTGGTCTATGTTTCTCTGTTATCAACGTTTCTGGCTCTTTATCTCTCTCCCTTCCTCTCTGTTAAAAAATCAATAAAATATATATTTTTAAAAATCAACTACAGTAAAACCATTCTAACACATGGAGCTAAATATCAATAGCATATCATTAAACAACGAATAGGTTACCAATGAGATCAAGAAAGAAAAAAAAATTCCTGGAAACAAATGAAAATGAATGCACAACAACCCAAAATCTCTGGGACACAGCAAAAGCAGTCCTGAGAAGGAAGTTCAGAGCACAACAAGTCTACTTCAAATAAAAAGTATTAATAATAAAATATTTAACCTACAACTTAAAGGATTAAAAAGAGAACAACAAGAGAAGCCTAGAGTAAATAGAAGGAAGGAAATAAAGATTAGAGCAGACAAATATGACACAATAATAGTAATACAAATGACCAAAAGCTGGTTCTTGGAAAAGATAAACAAGATTGATTAGCCTTTAGTCAGACTCATCAAAAAACAAAGTGAGAGGACCCAAATAATTAAAATCAGAAACAAAAGCTGTGAAGGAACAACTGACATAACAGAAATACAAAGGAATGTGAGAAAATACTGAGTAAATATATACCAACAAGCTGGACAATGGGGATGAAATGGACAAATTCCTAGAAAAACACAATCTTCCAAAACAATCAGGAAGAATCAGAAAAGCTAAATAGGCCAATAGCAACTGAGGAAATCGAGGCAGTAATAATAATAATAATAAAAAGAGTCCTAATAAACAAAAGCCCTGGTGTGAATAGCTTCACAGGGAAGTTTTACCAGACATTCAAAGAAATGCTTAACATCTATCCTTATCAAACTCTTCCAAAAAATCCAAGAGGGAGGACTACCTTCAAGCTCTTTTTTATGAGGCCAATATTATCCTAATTCCAATATCAGATAAAGACACTACAAAGAAAGAATTAAATGCCAATATACCTGATGAACATAGATGCTAAAACCCTGAACAAAATATTAGCAAATCAGGTCAAGCAATATACTAAGCTCATACACATCAACTAATGGAATTTCTTTTAGAGGTACAAGGCTGGAACAATATTCACAAATCAATAAATATGATACATAAACAAGTTGATAGACAAAAGTCACATGATCATATCAATAGATGCAGAAAAACATTCAACAAAATCTAACACCCATTTTTGATAAAAACTCTAAGCAAAATGGGAATAGAGGGATCATACCTCAACATAATAAAGACCATGTATGACAAACCTACAGCCTACATCACACTCAATGGGCAAAAACAAAACCATTTCCTTTAAGAACAAGAATAAGATAGGAATGTCCCAATTTCACCACTCTTATTTAACATACTACTGGAAGTCCTAACTACAGTGATCAGACAACAAGAAGAAATAAAAGGCACCCAAATTAGAAAGGATAAGTAAAAACCTCATTATTTGCAGGTGACATGACATCATACAGAGAAATCCCTAAAGACTCCACCAAGAAACTATTAGATTTAATAAATGAATTTGGCAATGTAGCAGGATATAAAATTAACACACACAAACCAATGGCTTATTCATACACCAATAATGAATTCTCAAAAAGAAAAACAATCGTATTTATTATAGCAACAAAAAAGTCAAGATATTTAGGAATAAACTTAACCAAGGAGATAATAGATTTATACTTGGAAAACTGCAGGATGTTGAAAAAAGAAATAGAGGAAGATATAAACATGTGGAAGAATGTACACTGTTCATGGATTGGTAGAATTAGCATCATTAAAATGTTCACACTACCCAAGGCAATCTATAGCTTCATGAAATGCCTATTAAAATACCAACAACATAGAACAAATTCTCCAGAAATTTATATAGAACTGAAAAAAGATCCCAAATAGCCACAGCAATCTTGATAAAGAAGACCAAAGTTGGAGAAATCACAATAACAGATATTAAGTTATACTGCAAAGCCACTGTAATCAAAACAACCTGATATTAGCACAAGAACAGACATATAAATCAATGGAACAGAATAGATATCCCAGAACTTGACCCAAACCATTATTCTCAGTATTTGATAGTGGAGACAAGAACGTGCAATGGAGTTGAGACAGTCTCCTCAATAAATGATGCTGGGAAAATTGGACAGATACATGCAAAAAAAAAAAAAAATGAAACTAGACCACCAATTTATACCGTACATAAGAATAAACTTGGATAAAATACTTAAATGCGAGTTATGAAACCATAAAAATCCTAGAAGAAACCATAGGCAGCCAAATCTCAGACATCTCTCATAGCGATATGTTTGTGGATGTATCTCCAGGGCAAAGGAAACTAAGGAAAAAATAATCAAATGAACTACATCAAAATAAAATACTTTTGTACAGCAAAATAAACCATCAATAAAATTAAAAGGGAGTCCACTGTATGGGAGAACATTTGGCAATGATACATCAGATAAAGGGTTAATATATAAAATATATAAGAAACTCATACAACTTTGCAAAAGGAAGACAATCCAATTTAAAAATTGGCAAAGGACCTAAATAGACATGTCTCCAAAGGGGACATATAGTTGGCCAAGAGACATGAAAAAATGCTGAAAGTTACTGATTATCAGAGATGCAAATTAAAACTATGATGAGGTGTCACCTCACACCTGTCAGACTGGCTATCTTCAACAAATCAACAAACGTCAAGTGTTGGCGCAGATGTGGGGAAAAGGGAATTGCTGCTGGTGGGAGTGCAAACTGGTGTAGCCATTATGGAAAACAGTATAGAGTTTCCTCAAAAAATTAAAAATGTAACTGCCATTTGACCCAGAGATCCCACTTCTAGGAATATATCCCAAGAAAATAGAAACACCAATCAGAAAGGATACATGCACCCCTCTGTTCATAGCAGCACGGTTGACAATAGCTAAGATTTGGAAATAGCCTAAGTGCCAATTAGTAGAAAAGTGGATTTAAAAGCTGTGGTACATTTATACCATGGGATACTATGAAGCAGTGAAAAAAGAAAGATATCTTACTCTTTGAGACAGCATGGAGGGACCTGGAGAGTATTATGCTAAGTGAAATAAGCCAGTCAGAGGAAGACAAATATCACATGATCTCATTCATATGATAGAATAGACTGTGGAATCTCAGAGAGAAGGTAGAGGGGGTAGGGTTTGGGAAATGACCTACCAAATAACTTGTATGCTTATATGTATAACCTATTTACACAATCGATAGGGAAGTAGAGACCTGAGATGGGAGTTGGGATGCTCTAAAATGGGTCAATTAGCTGAAACCGGTTTGGCTCAGTGGTAGAGCAGTGGTCTGTGGACTGAAGGGTCCCGGGTTCGATTCCGGTCAAGGGCATGTACCTTGATTGCGGGCATATCCCCAGGCAGCTGATCGATGATTCTCTCATTGATGTTTCTAACTCTATCTCTCTCTCTTCCTCTCTGTAAAAAAATCAATAAAATATATATTTTTTAAAATGGGTCAATCAGAGAAATAGGGGGACATATGTAATACTTTCAACATTAGATTTTTTTTTAATCCCTAAAAAATAAAAAGGAGATGCAAAGATAGGCAGTTCACTCTTTGATGGACATTGAGTGAATTTTTATTGGATGTGGGAATGGGAAGCCAGCTTGTGAGTTTGGCTGACATAGATTACACAGTAACTTAATTTACTTATCAATTCAAATTTCTCATCACATCTATGTGACTTTAGACAATATCTCATGGATTAGTGAGAATAATAAAAAAAAAACTATTATTTAAATTGGAACATAAAATTAAAAATGTAAAGAAAATACTTTCAGATGAGAGTGACATATATTCAGGGCTTTCTAAATTACCACACCTTCATGATTCCTTGAATATATTGGTTTACTTGGAATATTATGCAACATTATTCAGAGATGGGTTATAGACAGCAAGCTATACAGTAGCTGACCATCTAAAATAAAAGTGAGCTTAGATATTTTTTATTTTTCTCCATAAACTTTCATTTTATTGCTACTTGAGAGGTATATATATATATATATATATATATATATATATATAGTGTTTTATTGATTTTTTTTTACAAAGAGGAAGGGAGAGGGATAGAAATTTAGAAATATCAATGAGTGAGAAACATCAATCAGCTGCCTTCTACATACCCTACTGGGGATGTGTCTACAACCAAAGTACATACCCTTGTCCAGAATTGAACCTGGGACTCTTCAGTCTGCAGGCCGATGCTCTATTCACTGAGCCAAACCAATTAGGGCACTACTTGAGAGTTTATGGTACTACTAGAGGCCCAGTGCACAAATTCATGCAAAGACAGGTGGGAGAGACCACAGAAGGTTGACCAGTAGGCCCTGATCTAGTTGTGTAGATGTGCTGAGGTAGTGGCAAGCAAAGACCACAAATAGAGCCCCCCAAAGTGGCCTCAACACTAGCTATGCTCTGAGGTGGAAATAGCTCTACATTGCTGCCCGAACTCAGGCTACCTCACTCTCCCTAGGGCAGAGTTACTGACAGTCCTCTCTTTTATCTCAGCTGCACATTTTTCTCAAGATTCCACCCCAAGCATGATAGGTAGCTGACTTCAGCCAGTGATGGCACACGCCATAGTAGCAAGAGCCATTCAGAGATTGGGAGCCTGGAAAGGTGCAGGGCTGAGCTAGAAATATTTGATGGGGGCAGAAGGGCGATTAGCATGGTGCAGTGGCAAAGGTAAGATGGTGCTTACTTTAAGTCTTTGCAGTTAAGCTGCTGCCTTGCTCCTTCTGCTCCCTCTGAGCTGCTACTCTGTCTCATCAACTTCAGGGTCTCCTCCTACAGGCTTCCTGGACCCAGAGTTTTAGCTGGGGGGAGGGACCACAGGAGGTTGGTTGTGGGAGCTCACTGACCAACAGGGGGCAACTTCTGCATTGAGTTTCTGCCCTCTGGTGGTCAGTGGATGTCATAGCAACCTGTTGTTCCAGTCGTTCTGTCCTAATGGTTGCTTAGGCTTTTATATTTATATAGATGGTTAGGTTTTTTCAAGCAGGCCTTCAAATGATTCTCATTGAAAGAATAAAAACTGTAAGTTTCACTTTTTGTGTATTAGTGGAGTTACTAGTATACTGCTTAGAAGAATAAAAGAATCTATTTTTAATGGTCTAGCACACTGGTTAAAGGTATATATTTTGGGCATATTCATTTTTCCCCCCTGCCACCTATTAAGTAAGGTCCCTGCCCTTTTCAGAGTTATATGTACCAACAGGGGGAAGTCCAACACACTTTGCTTACATTTAACTGCTATTTTCTTGCAAATAAGGTTTGTTATTAATATTAGTCTGTTCAAGAACCCAGAAGAGATATTGTGAAGGCCCTGTTGATAACAGGACACATAGGATAAGGAAGTTCTGTCTTAAATATATCTGCAATCTCTTCCAAGTGAACTTGTTTTGGCTGTCATGCCTCAAGTATGTGCATGCTGGTATCTTGAGTGTGGCTAGCAGAGATAGGCATATGGCTCTTCATAAAAATAAAAAAATAAAAAAGCAGAATCAGGGTTATCGTTATTAGGGCTGTGCATTGGCATTCTGATTCCATTCCTCGTTGGGTATGTAGTGGAAATAATTTCCTTATAAACTTGGGTCTGACCACAAACTGGCTTTGGCCAATGGAATGTAAGTAGAGATTATGTGGGCCATTATTAGAAGACTTTGAGAGCATGATTTACCATGTTTCTTTTCCTCTACCATGGTGATTGTGGAAGCTCATGTCAAGATGGAGCCTCCATCAGCCTGAGTTTCCTTAGATGGGAAGAACCTCCCTGCCAACCTAGTATTGACATATAGCATCATAAGAAATAAACCATTATTTTAAGCCAGTGAAATTTCTAGGTTGCTATTGCAGCATAACTTTGCCTATCCTTTTTACATTTATTTTTAATTATAGTTGACATACAATATTATATTAATTTCAGGTGTACAACATAGAACTCTTAAGGTAAAGTTGGCGAATGATTAATTATAGTGGGTTAAGAAGAATGATAGGAAAGAAGTGGGCAGCAAGCATCTTAGCTATAAAGAACAAAGAAATAACTGAAGGGGGTTACAGGGTAAAGCAAAGGTGCTATTGTTGTTGATTTTATGATGGGTAGTTAGGAATAATATCTTTGAATAAGTTAAGAAAATTCTGTTGATAGAATAATTGAAGTAGTAATGTCCTTGAGTAGAAGAGAAAGGAGTACAAAAGTGGAGGACTGGCCTAAGACAGGAGCAAGGACCCTTTATTCATTGCAATAAAAAAATAGACTAGATATAGGTATAGAGGCAGGAAGACTAGTAAATGAGGTATTACCATGCTCTCTGATTATTCTACTTTCTCAATTAAATAAGTAGCTAGATCACCAACTAAAAGAAGAAGGGAAAAGATTGGAGGTTTGAAGACAGAGAAGTGAAATAAATATTCATGAAACTTGGTGAATCCTAATGGCCTAATATCAATGGCCTACTTGGCACAAATAGTTTTGAATTTAAAATGGGACCACAAAATAGATATTTTTATAAAGGCATATCAGCTAAATAGAGCATAAGCAAAGCAACTGGTTGATATTTTCCAGGGAAATAGCTGTAAGAGAATGTTAAAGAATCTATGCCAGGTAAGGGTGAAGTGAATAGATGATGGGCTGAGGGAGTGTGAAAATATGGAAGAGTCACTATTGTTGAATAGCTCTTATAGTCAAAATACTAAGAGGAATGAGCTGAAAATGAAAGATAAGAATTTAAATCTGATATTATGAATGAGGCGCATTTATAATCTGTGGATGATTGGGAAGGATGGAGGAGAGTATATATCAAAGAACTAAGATGTCAAATTATTAGAAGTACCATTGTTTGGATGTTGAAATCCCAAAGAAATATAAGAGGCGTGGTAATAGAGGCATAGTAAATTGGATGCTATAATCTAGGAATGAGGAGTAGAGATCTGGAAGTCAACTGATAACAGCAAGGAAGGGTATAGAACTTCAAAGAAACTAGGTAGTCTTTGGGAGAGTCAAGGATAATTGTTTGGCAGTAGTAATGGCAAACAGGAAAAGGTGCCTCACCTCCAGACTTAGTGGCTTCAGGATGAGAAAGCAGTACCTTTGAGGATTTCAGTTCTACTGAAAAAAAGACGAAGGAAAAGTTTCACTGAAGAGGTTGAATATGGAGCCAATTTTGCTGAAGATGGACTGGGAGTTCCAGGAATCACAATGGATTTACATAAACAGATTGAGGATTGGTAACATATCAAATTAGGGGACTTTATAAGACTAATAAGGACAAGTCTTCATAAGAAGGAATGATCTGGGGGCCTTAGGCTTCTATGGAGTGAGGTTAATGGGAATAATGCTGCCAGTGAGATGACACAATGATTTGGAGGAGAAACGGGATTCACCTAATTGCCAACTCAGCTTTCATTTGCTGTGTTGGTAGAAGTAGGAACTCTTTCCAAGGAGTAAAATATCTATCCCTTCATCTTATTAGTTAATCCTAGATATAGAAGAAATTAAAATATGATTTTGAAGTTTCATAGGGCTTACTCTGGCCAGAATAGCACTGGACAGGATTGCAAAAGTTCCACATCCTATACCTATGGCAGACATTGCTAATCCAACTTGGCACTGTTTCTTCCTGACTTTGGCTATAGTTTTAGAATCCATTTCATCACAGTACTGGAAATACCAGCTACTAATCCATAGTAATTAACTATTCAGCACAGTTACTATGTTGAGCATGTTTTATAGATATTACTTTAATTATTACAACAGCCTGTGAGGTTTTACAGATGAAGACCCCAATGACCAAAAACGTTAAGAAACTTGCTCAAGATCATAACAGCTTAAAATCAGGAAAACCAAGATTCAAATACTGTTCTACTTTCTTCCAAAAATCTCTCACTTAACCATTGTAATTTAATTATTGGAACTAATGTTGAAATGTTATTGCCATTCCTATGAGGTATTTGCAATTAATTTATTTTCAGGATTACCAGGATATACAGGGGGGAAAAAAGAAAAGAAAGATTATCAATGTTGATTATTTTGTAGGAATAAAGAAAGTGATCCCAAAAAGGGGAAAAAGTCACAGAAGAATGTCAGTCAACCAAGAAAGGAAGAGTCAAGGAGTTCCTGAAGATGGTAATGAAGCAATCATAAATAAATAATTAAAAGATAAGCAGCAACAAGAAAGCACATAATAGGATAATTGTGTTAAATTTTATAAAAAATTAGGATACTGGGAAGCTGTTAAATTTCTCCAGGAAGAAACCTATTTAGTGTTTAGAAAAGGTATAATAACCTGAAAATGCAGGCCTATAATGAAAATTCATCAACTATAATTGCTATATTGTTGCTATGGTGGCAGTGCAATTATAGTATGTATGCCGATGGTCTGAATAAAAAATGTTGGGACAATCAAAATATTTATACTGTTCTATAAAGAAACAGGTACAACATTGCAGTAGGCTATTTTAAATTGTCTCTTATTATGGCCTTTGATTTTGGTTTTGTTTATAGTCAGAAAGGGAAAACTGTAAACCCTAAATTTTGTTATGAAAAAAAAATCACATTTGTAATGACTTTGAGTAAGGAAACATGACTGGTTTGCATTTAAATTTTTATGATATACATTATTCCTTTGTCTAGCTCTGGCTAACCAAGACACATCTTCATTAACCGATGCTGTAGAGCAAGTTGCAAAGCAACAGCAATCACAAACATCAGAAATAGAAAAAAACAAAAAAGTTCTGTTTCATTTACAGGTAACTGTTTCATACTGTCTTCTAAATGAGTCTTTATTTTCTTCAAAACTATATTAAATTAGTAACAGGTAAGTTATTGAGGATACTTAATTTTGGTAGTCAATTTTAAACACATACTTTTTATATTTACCTCTTTCTTAATTATTCTGTTATCCCTAAGTGAAATTTATTTGAGTATTCCAGTTTTGTGGGACATTTTATACACCCAATATACAAATATTCAACAGTGTGATTGCAACTGTAGTATGAGCATATTAAACCCAATGTCTCAAATAGAATTATTTAAAATTCACTTCTATTATATATTTATTCCTAAAATGCTTAATTTAAGGAAGTTTAAGTTTTAAGCTAGTGTTTTGAAAGTTATGACTTGTGAGTTTCTAGTTGTCAGTGAACATTTTAAGTAGATAAGGAACATTTCTGTGTTTCTTATGTTTTATATTATATTTATAATTCTAGTACAGGGAATCCCAAAGGTATGTTTGGTTTTTGCACATAGCATAATTAGATGGCTATATTCAATTAATATAACTAAAAGAGCAAAATGGAAACAGTACCTTTACTATGTGCTCTGTAAAGTTTTAAGAGATGAACTGCCTAGTTTGAAAGATAAGATTTGCTATTTCCAGCTCTGTGATTTAATTTATCTGTGCTTCTGTTTTCTCCTTTTAAAAATGGATATAATAATAGGACCTGCCTATAAGGTATTCATGATGATTTAATTAGTTCTTATAAATATTATGTAAGATAACCTTGCTGGGGCCCCAGTGGACAGTATAGTTTTAATTTTTATGTTGGCTTCAGATATTAATGCATCAACAGAGATATGATGATAATTATACTATCACTAGAGGCCCGGTGCATGAAATTCATGCACGTGGAGGGGGGTGTCCCTCAGCCCAGCCTGCACCCTCTCCAATCTGGGACCCCTTAAGGGATATCCAACCGCCCGCACCATGGGCCTGGGAGGCATCCACGCATGACCGGTGCGATCTGATGCCCACGCCAGAGATCTGCTGCCCTCGCAGCTGCCTGGGCCAAGGGCATTCTAGGCACCCGAGCATGGCCAGCGTGATCCACTGTCTGCCCCAGCCTGGGCCGTGGGCCTGAAAGGCGCCTGAGCATGACCGGTGCCATCTGCTGCCTGTCCCTGCCTGGGCTGTGGGCCTGGGAGACACCTGGGCTGCCTATACACTCGCCCCCCCCCCTCACCCCCCCCCCCAACCCCCAGCGATCAGCTCCCATATGCAGCTGAGGGGTGTAGGCCTGGGAGGCAGGTGCTCCCCCCAAAGCTATTCCCTCCCAGAGGCAGCCTGGGGTGTCAGGCTGCACCCCCATGGAGTGATCCCCCCCACATACTATAGTCTTGGAACTTCCCTTGATGCCAGTGATTGGAGATGGGCGGTGTTATCTGGGTGATGCTGCCCAGCAAACCTCTCCCATTGGGTAGAAACTGCTGACCAGGTTAGGGAAGTAAATGGGTTTTATTTAAAATCTCTAGAAACCGCAAAGGAAATGTCTGAGGTAGGGTCTTACATCAAAAGTAACTTACAACTAATTTCTGAAGGCAAATGGGGACATTGCAGTTACATTACTGGAGAGTACTCTAGGGTCCAGAAGTTGGCTCTGCAAGGACGTTGGTGGGTGCTCCCCACCCTGGTTCATCAGTACCTCGGGCAGGGCTTGAGCCCACCCAGGAAGGCCTTTTCTCCTACAGTTCTCACCAAGGCAGGGAGGTTCTGTAGACATGAATAAGAAGTGCCCACACACAAGTCCTGAAGATGCTGGGGCTGGAAGAAATGACAATCAAACCGGGAAAAGAACAAAACCAGAAATACCACCAATCTCAACATAGATAATCTTTTTCTTCAGATGTCTGTGTTTCCCTCTTTGTCTTCTGGAAGCAAGACAGATTCAAGTACTGAGATTCTACCAACGGAAAAGAGAGAGGACAGAAGAGGAATAAAAGGAAAAAAGAAAGGACAAAAGATGAAACATCAAGAAAAAGAAAGAGAAGGAAAAAAGGAAGAAACAACCCCATGATATCACCTTTTTAAGATCTCATGAAATTCCTGTTTAAATTTATTTTATGACACTTTTAGTTTGGGTTTACATTTTTACTTGTTTGTCAAGACCATGGCATGTACACTGTACAATATGTTAAAGAAAAAAAAAACACCCTATCTAATAAAGAGGGAATATGGAGGGGAGAGCATTTGCGAGTGACTGGGCTGTCAGAGGAAGGCAGTTGGGGACTATTGGGCCAGCAGGGGAACAGTTAGGCATTGTTCTCATGCTGGCAGGAGAGTGGTTAGGGATTGATCAGGCTGGCAGGCAGAAGCAGTTAGGGGCAATCAAGAAGGCAGGCAGGTGAGCAATTGGGAGCCAGCAGTCCTGGATTGTGAGAGGAATGTCCTACTGCCCGTTTAGGCCCGATCCTACGGACATCCCTTGAGGGTGCAGATTGGAGAGGGTGCAGGCTGGGCTGAGGGACACCCTCCCTCTGCCCATGCACGAATTTCATGCACCGGGCCTCTAGTATTTAATAAACAGAAAGAGGGATGAGAGAAAATATGAGAAAAATGGAACTATATGTAGAGACTATAGCATACATGACTTTGTAAGGCACATTGGCAATTTTATTTTTATTATTAACTAGAGGCCCAGCACATGATTAAATCATGCACATGTACGGTCCCCTAAACCTACATCAGGGCCATGTCCGCCACCCTGTGATGCCTCACATGCTCTGAGGATGCTGATGGTGCTTCACGACATTCCACTGACACTGCTGGAACCTCGGGGTGTGTATGTGTGTGGGGGAGGAAGGGGGTGAGACCCCAGACTCTGCTGTTGCCGCTGTGGGCCTCACAAGATCATTTGTGCCTGGCTGGTCCCCATGCCTCGCTCCCCAGTGTTGAGTATCTGAACTTTTTGGTTGTTTCAAATCATTTGGCTCTTTCCCTTATAACAGCTCCCTGCCCCCGCCCGCCTGGTACCCATTCCCCATGCCCTCTTTGCTGCATGGCCCACCCACCTGCTGCCTGCCGTGCTGCGATCAGAGCCTGTGGGCCATGGGACCAAGAGGTGCTCCATGCACCTCCTGGTGACTGGTCTTTGGTTGTCACAGTGTTACAACCACTGGGTTTTTATTATATAGATGCAGTGGCAAACCATTAGAGGATCTTGAGCAGATAAGTAACGTGATATGATGTATGTTTTTTAAAAGATTCTTCTGCCTAATATATGGAGCCTGGTTGAGGTACAGGGGGAATAATGGAAACAGGAAGACCAGTAGAAGCTAGGCTGTGCTAAAAAAAAATTGATCAGAAGTTAATCTGGGATTTTATTTTGGAGACCAAACCAGCAAGATTTGCTGGAAAATAGGTCTTGGGAAAAGGGAAAAGGGATTTTGAGTATTCAGGTGGAAAGTGGTGCAGCTTATTGCAACCAAGAAGATTAAGGGGAACATGTTGAGTGTATAAATGGAATTCTTTTCTGAACATGTATAGTTGATATGTCTATTAGATATAGGAATTGAAATGTCAACTGGAAATAAAGATAGAGATTCATCAGCATGTTGCATTTTTCACTGTACTTCCCTCTCTGTCTCTGACAGGAAAAGGATAGATTAAGTCTGCCTGTTTTGTATAGTGACTCCCTCTCAAAATTATGTGTTCAAAGAATAAAATCATGAAAAGGAGGATGGCTTGCAGAGTTGTTTTGGTTACAGTTAGATAATAAAGAGAAGGAAAGACATAAGGTGGCTCCCAAAGTAGTGCCATTAGTTAATCTGTGAAAATAAGGGTGTGGTAATTTTCCTTTTGGTACCAATTCTTCATCTTTGTGTATATAAGACCCTTTGCCACGTGTTATTATAATGGTCTGCCACAGTGGTGCACATACATCTGCTCCTTGATGATGAGTTTCATCATGTGACCAGCTGGGGTGTGACCTGATGTTATTTGAAGAGAAGCTTGAAAAAACTCTTCCATAATTGGGCTTCTATTCTTCTGCTTCTACTATCATCATGAAAAGGACATGATTGGCATGGCCGAATGAAAGATAATATATATGTTATGCAAAGGTAGGACACCCCAGCTAGCCAAACTAAGTCATGTATCAGCCGGCCAACCCTCAGACATTTGAGCAAATCCAGCCAAGGTCCACATCTAGCCAACTTCAACTGCTCACAGTCATGTGAGCAATAAATACTTGTTTTACAAGTCACTGAGGTTTTACCATTCTGACACTACATAATTGATATAAGGAATGACAGGATGGGATAGAGGGGAAGATTAGTTTGATTTTTGACATGTTGCATTTGAGATGGCAAGTAGCCACTGGATGTAGGTCTTAACAGCCACTTAAGTTCTGTGAATTATCAATGTAGACACAGCTCAACATATAAGTATGGATAAGATTACCCAAGGAATTATATGTAGAACGAAAGAAGAAAATTCTCATGACGGCACCCTAAGGAAGACCTGCTTTAGAAGGAACCATTGTGACTGAGAAGGAAAGCTCAGCAGTATCTGGGAAAACCAGGGAAAAGTGGTGATGTGAAAACAGGAAACACCCACAGATGCAGAGAACCAACTGATGGTTGCCAAAGGGGACCTACAGTAGGGGACTGGGGGAAAATGTGAAGGGAATGAGAAGTACATGATTGGCAGTCATATATAGTCATGGAATATAAAGTACAGCATAGAGAACATAGCCAATAATGTTAAAATTGCCAAATGCTGAGAGAGGTAAGGTAGATATCTTTATACACATTTGACAAATGATGAGTTTTGTATAGGTTAATTAAGTTTTCCATGTATGATCATACCAATTATTAAATAACAGTAAGGGAACTAGAACCTAGGTATTTTGATTTTTTTAACCCAATGTGTTGCCATTTTTATCATGTTTTCTTTCTTTAGTGTGTACTTCTGATGTAATATATTATTAAAATGATTGTAAAATATCGTTTACATATAAAATGTTAAGATAAATGAAATTTTAATATTTAGAATTATATGAACATTAAAATAAGAAATATGTATATACAGTAATTGGGCTTCCACTGAGATGATAATTTTTTTATGTTATTGAATGTTTCCTTCCATTATACATCAATTTTTCTATATCTGATAAATGTTTTTATGTTGTGATTTCCTACATGCATTATGGATAGAAAAATGACTTTTCTCTCATGTTGAGTATCATGAATTAATAACAATAATGTTGAAATATTTTACAGAATGAACTTCATGAGTTAGAAAAACAAATAGCAACTGTTTCTGCAGAAACTAAAGAAACAGAAAGGCTAATTTATCAGCAAGATGTTGCCATAGAGAATAGCAAACTTCAGTGTGAAAACCTAGAAACACAAATCAAATCCTTACATACAGAAAATGTAAAGCTTAAATTTGATATAGAAGCAGCCCAAGAAGATTTTGAGGAACACATGATAAAATATAATGAATACTATGCAAAAATTAAACTGCATAAAGATACCTTGGAGGAGGAAGAAAGCAAATGGTCATTTATGATTGAACTACATGAAAAACAAGATCTTGTTAAAAAACTGAAGATAATGAAAGAGGAACTTAGGCAAGATCTCCAGAATCCAGAAGGAAACCGGATGAAACAAATACAGGTTTGAAATATCACTTATTAAAACTTTTTCTAGTCTTTTTTTTCCTTCTTTTTAAATCCTCACCTGAGGTCATACTTAGAGAGTGGAGAGAGAGAGAGAGAGAGAGAGAGAGAGAGAGAGAGAGAGAGAGAGAGAGAGAGAGGGAGAGAGAGAGAGATGAACTTGCAATTGAGGTATGTGACCTGAGTGGGAATTGAACCAGCAACTTTTCTGTGCACAGGATGATGTTCAACCAACTGAACCACCCAGGCTGAGCTATTCTCTTTTTTCATGTGCACTTATTAAATGATAAATTTATCATTAACTTAATCAAGTACTCATGGCTACTCTAATGAAGTTCAAAAACTATTTTCACAACTTTAAAATACTTGGATAAGCACATGAGTTATGTAACAATTATGCCACGTGTGCAAATGCATAAAGATAACATCCCCAAACTCCATGTGGATTAATACAAATGCACAGTCAAACAAAGTCACAGTGAACAATTAGTACATTTGTTTCAGAAAGTGTTACTAACAAAAATGTTGAAGCCCTAGCTTCTAAGCTAATGGATCCAGACCAATCCAAGGCAATTTAGTATGCTTAATGCTGTTTTGCAAATAATATGAATTAATAATGGCAGCTTATACATTTTTCTATTTCTTTTACTATTCTTTGAAGACAGTGGGAGAGACAAACTTAAAATATTTATTATGTCTTGCTAGAGACTTACAAGTATCCTTTACATTGTTACTGGACAATTTTCACTATAATTACCACTATCCTTTACATATTACTTCATTTGGGTTTTAGTTGTAAATGCTTAAATATAAGTTTTGTTTATTTGTTTGTATTGTAGTTTTTTATTACTTGTACCTTTAGAAGTAATATTCTAATTCTATTTCTCAAAAAGAAATATTACAGCTAGTTTTATTAAATTATAGAAACACTGAAAATCTAGGCTTTATATTTGATCATTCACTGTTTAACCTGTATATATTAAATTTTATAAACATACAGGAAGACATTACAAAGCTAAAGGATAAAATCACAACTACAAAAGAATCTATCATTGAAAAAACTTGTTTTCTTGAGGAAGAAAATAAGACACATGAAAAATTAAGAAAAGAAATAGAGGTAAGTCTTAATCACCTGGATTTTAAAGTTTTATGGAATCCTTTCTTAAACATACATTATTTTCATACTTTCCATAGTTTATTCTCAATCCTCAAATAGCTCAAGAACAATAAAGAACTCTACATAAAGCATTAGAAAAGTCCAACACATCCTATATAATAAAAGCCTAATATGCTAAGTGTCTGGTGGTCCATTCAACTAATCAAAGCATAATATGCTAATGATATGCTAAGGCTACTTAACCACTCACTATGACATGCACTGACCACAGGGGGCAGATGCTCAACACAGAAGCTGCCCTCAACCCACAGGCCCTATTCACTGCTAGCCAAACTCCTAGTCCCTCCCCCAAGCCAGCAGGCTCTGCCCACTGGAGAATGGGGATCTGGGGTGGGTGGTGGCAGACATGTGCAACACCAGGCCAAGGCAGGTGGGAGCTAGTGGAGTTTGATCGCCCCACTGGTCACCCCATACACAGAAGGCAACTGGCAGCAGGGGGCAGGGCTGGCTGCCAGTAGCTGGGGAAGATTGGATCTGATCGCAGGCCAGGCCTAAGGACTCTACACATGCAAGAATTTCATGAGCTGGTACTCTAGTTAATAGATAATTAGAGATAACTCCCTCATTCAAAGGTATTCAAATATGAATCAATTTAGACAAAGCAAGCATTCACTCCTATTTCAATCTGTCCTAAAATTATTACAATTCTAATTCCACTAAGAACCTGCACCCAATTAAAGGCTAGAAAACAGGCTATTGAGTCAGAAAAGATGACCTTTTCTAGATATATATCAGAGACTTCACAAAGCAGAGTAAAAACAAAACACATTGGAAGTCGGTACTATAAACCCCTTGACTTCATATTTGCTATTAAGTCTAATTTTAAAAAACTGATATAAAAAATTAAAAGTGAGACCAAGTTTGGGATACCACTGGTAGACTTCTGTAGTCATAATTGTTTATATGAATGGAAATGAAAATGAAGAAGAATATGTTGTTAAGATCAAGTAAATAATTTTCACTGTAAAGGTATTAAAGATACATGTCTTTAACTTGTTTGTGACTAATTTGATACAATTAATAAGCATCTGAGTTGCCATGGCCTGGTGGTTCAGTTGATTAGAGCAACATCCCATAAACCAAGAAGTTAATGGTTTGATTCCTGGTAAGGCACATACCTCAGTTGTGAATTCAATCCCCAGGTTGGGGATGTGAGGGCAATCTGGCTGTGACATCTGTCACCCCATTGATCGCCAGGGTTGATTCGGCTGATCTGGCTGGCTAGGCAGGTGTCCCCCTCCTCCCTCACCAATCCATGTGCGTCCCTCCCGAAGCTGCTTGCTCAGTCGAAGAGAACGACTTTCCCCCAAGAGGAGAGGACCGGTCTTTGGTCAAGGGTATACGAGTAGCTGCGCTCCCCTTCTAGAACCTCCAAACAAGCTCTCAAGGTTCAATCCCCAGGTTGGGCGCCTACAGAGGAAACGGATCAATGTTTCTCTCTCACATCATTGTTTCTCTCTCCCCTTCCTTCTTACTAAAATCAATAATAATAATAAAATCCTTGGGTGAAGATAAAAAAGTCTGTATATTTATACTATAATAAAAATATTTAACTGACAAAATGGATAAGTAAGATGTAGTATATTGTACAATATTATTTGGCAATAAAAGGGAATAGAGTACTGATACTGCTAAAATATGGATAGCCTTAAAAATATTATGCTAAGTGAAAGAAGCTAGTCACAAAAGACCACATAGTGTATGATTCCACTTTATAAAATGTCCAGAATAGACAAATCTATATAAAGAGAAAGTAGACTAGTAGTTGCCTAATGCTAAAGGTAGGATGGAGAAATGGGGAGTCACTATTAATGGGTACCAGATTTCAATTTGGGCTAATGGAAATGTTCTAAAATTGATTGTAGTGACAGTTGCACAACCCTGTAAATATACTAAAATCCATTAAATGGTACAGTTTAAAGGGTGGATTATATGGTATGTCAATAAAACTGTTTTAAAAATATTATTTGTAGAGCCAACACTGATCTCAGGAATTATGACATTTTTGCATTCTTGTGCCAGGACACCAAAACTCATACTTTTCACTGTGCTTCATTGCCTTCCAGTGTCGCATTGTCTGGCTCAGCATACACAATAATCTACTTACTGGCAAGGAATTGGACATTATATAAAACTTTTAGGTCAATTAATCTGTTTCAGTGAAGAACTAGATACAGAAAAAAAATTACTCTTAACTGGTAACTGCATAACAAGTAGAAAACACTTCATCCCAGATGTTTTACTTGGATTTAAATCTCAAACATTATCACTTGCTTATCTGAAACCTTGGTCAAATTACTTAATCTCTTTATCTTTTGCTTCCTTATACAAACATGGGTATCATAATATGCACATCATAAGGTGTAATGAGAATTTAATTATATGTAAAAGGCTCTCAGCAGACTAACATATACTAAGTGTCAAGTAAAGCCCTGTTGTGTTTTCTTTTTTTTCATAGGTACAAAATAAGAGATATGGTGCAATTCTTAAGCGTTTGCATTGTCAGCTGAACAAGCTTCAGTCAAATAGAAACCAATGGCAGTGGAACATTCAACAACTAGAAAAAACTGCCGCTGAACTAAGAAAATGCATTGCAATGAAAGATTAACATGGCCATAGGACAATGTAGAACACAGAGTATTGCCACAAAAATTATAGGCAAGAATGTTGAGAAATCATTCAAGTTCTTGTTTCCAACTAATTATTTTTTACTGAAGTATAGTTGACATACAATATTATATTTGTTTCAGGTGTGCAACACAGTGATTCTACATTTATATATCTTACCAATGAGCTTACACTGTCAGAGGTGTCTTAATGGCAGATATATTTATCTTTATTTAATTAGTCCTTCCATCCCTACAATTGATAGCAGTAGAAAGACAATAGGAAGGCTTACAGAAGAATAGTAGATGACTCCATGAACATTTTTCATGTATAAGATGTATTGTACTCATGAATGCCTGTTTATAAATTGCTGTCTTCACTATTATTTGAAGTAAATATTTAGAAGAAAAGAAACTCTTGAATTTACAATGATTTAAATTGTTAAGATATTTAAATGGTTGTCTGTTTTAAACTTTATTAAAACTCATGTGTTTTTTTTTACTACTGCCTTCACAGCAGTCCATAAATATTAACATTTACAATAATATTATACGTTCAGTGCCTCAGGTATGTTTCTTAGTTTTCTGTTTCATTCAGAAGCTGGCAATCATTTTTCTTTGTTATTAGATAACATATTTTTAGAGTGCTGCTAAGCATAAATATTTTGTTCATGCTTCTGTCTATAAATTTTTTTATTACTATTCTATGACTAAAATAACATTGTGTAAGATAAAATTATAAGCTCTTCAAAACTGTTAATCATTATAGATAAATGTTCCGTTTTTAGTTTTATTGAAAGGCAAATATTATGTTCATGGCCAAAATCAAAATTTAATTTGTTCCTTGTAAGATGAAAGTGCTCTTTCTCATGACTTTATATATATATATATATATATATATATATATATATATATATATATATATATATTTAATTAAATTTTTACAGAGAGGAAGAGAGAGGGTTAGAGAGCTAGAAACATTGATGAGAGAGAAACATCGATCAGCTGCCTACTGCTCACTCCCTACCAGGGATGTGCCCACAACCAAGATATATGCCCTTGACCGGAATCGAACCCGGGACTTTTCAGTCCACAGGCCAACACTCCACCTACTGAGCCAAACCGGTTTCGGCTCTCATGACTTTCTTGAGTAAAAATTTTAGGAACAAAAATAAAATATTAATTATTAAGTACATGGTTTTTATTGTTTTAAGAAATTTTATTTTTCAGTTACAATTTATATTCTGTGTTATTTTGTATTAGTTTCAAGTGTATAGCATAGTGATTAAATAATCATATACTTTACAAAGTGTTCCCCTCTCTATATTTTCAGTATCCTGGAACCATACAGAATATTCTCAAGATTATTGATTACTAGAGGCCTGGTGCATGAAATTCATGCATGGGTAAGGTCCCTATATCTGGCCAGCAATCAGGGCTGATATGTGGGACAACTGGCAGGGTGATCAGGAGTCCCCTACTGGCACTTGCCTTGGCGGGCCTGGTGCTGCCAGCTTGCCAACCCCATCCCCCCAATCACCCCTCTGCCACTGCCAGTTGCCTCTCTCTGTGGGAGGCAACTGGCAAGGTTATTGGGGGGTGATGTGGCGCCAGCCCACTTGCCAGCTGGTCCATTCCCCTGCTGCCACCTGCTTGCAAGCTGACCTCATCCACCACCACCACTGCCAGTCGCCTCTCTCTGCAGGGCCACCAGCGGGGTGATCAGGGCGGCCCGCTGGCACCCGCCTTGGCTGGCCTGGGGTCTGCAGACTGCTGCAGCTCCTGTGTTGAGCATCTCTACTCTTGGTGGTCAGTGCTCATCACAGCAGCCAGTCATTTCACCCATGATTCTGCTATGCGGTTAATTTACATATTAGGCTTTTATTATATAGATTACTCCCTATACTATACTTTACTGAATATATGATTTTTATATATTTGCTTTAGGATTTAATTATTTCAAGTTAATATCATTAAAATGATACCAAGAATATATAGAAGTCACATTGAGACTAGTAAGAAGGGCTCACCCTGCTCCCACAGGTCGTTACAGATTATGAAGGAATAGCTCAGTGTCAAAGGTTCCCCATGAGAAGTGTAGGGACTCAACCCCATGCCAGCCACTCCTGCTCAGAGTACCAGAGCTGGGAAGAGACATATCTGGCTATGAAAAGAGTAGGAATTCTGTCCATCAGGGACAGCTGAAAGCCTACTAGAGACCAGGCACTTTCTTAACGGGACAGCACACAAAATATCTTTTGTAGCCACTTACCCTGGGCTCCAGAAGAGAGAGGACAGAAGGGCCTAGAGTTTTGTGAGGAGAGACTGAGGTTTTTGTCTCAGGGATAGTGTGGAAGGGACTATGGCTAGCGTTCTTGTTCTGAGTCCCTCTCCCATACCACAGGTGGCATTTTTTTTTATTTTTATTTTTTGCGAAGGACTCCCCTCCACACAGCATCAGCCTGAAAGATTGCAACAGCCCCACCCTCCAAAGTCTATATGGCCCCACCCTGTGAAGCTACCTATCAAGACTGGAAGTAATAGCAGATCTATCTAATACATAGAAACAGACATGAAGAGGCAGCCAAAGTGGGGAGACAAACATGCCCCAAATAGAAGAATAGAAGAAATCTCAAGGAAAAGAGCTAAATAAAATGGAGACAAGCAATTTACCAGATATAGAGTTTAAAGGTTATAAGAATGCATAAAGAACTTAGGAGAAGAATGGATGAAATCAATAAGAACTTAAATAGATAGTAAACATAAGAAGGACATAGAACCCATGAAACAGAACTAGTCAGAAAAGAATACAATATCTGAAATGAAAAATACACTAGAAGGAATAACAGTAGGTTGGGTGAGCAGAATATTGAGTCAGCGATTTGGAAGATAAGGTAGAAAGAAACATTCAATCAGAGCAATAACAACAACAACAAAATTTAAAAAGTAAAGGTAGGTTAAGTGTCCTTTGGGACAACATGAAACATAACAACATCCACATCATAGGGGAACCAGGAGAAAAGAGACAACAAAGTATAACCTATTTGAAGAAGTAATGACTGAAAATTTCTCTAACCTGGTTAAGGAAAAAGACACACAAGCCTAGAAAGCACAGAGAGCCTTAAACAAAACTAATGCAAAGAGGCCTACACCAAGACACATCATAAATAAAAAAGTAAAAGATAAAGAATCTTAAAAGCAGCAAGAGAAAGACAGTTAACTACAAGAGGGCTCCATTAGACTATCAGTTGATTTCTCAACAGAAATATTTCAGGCTAGAGGGATTGGCACAAAATATTCAAAGTGATGAAAAGCAAGGACCTACTGCCAAAACTACTCTATCTAGCAATGCTATCATTTAGAACCAAAAACATAAAAAGAGCTTCCCAGATAATAAAAAGCTGAAGAAGCTCATGCCACCAAACCATTGTTACAATAAATGTTAAAAGGTCTTCTTTAAGAAGTAGAAATTTTAAAAAAAATAGAATAATATTTATAGAGATAAACTGGAATAAATATGTATGTATCAATAATCACTTTAAAAATAAATGGCTTAAATGCTTCAATAAAAAGACTTCGGAGAGATGAATGGATAAAAAAAACAAAAACAAGATGCTATATATGCTGTCTACAAAAGACTCACCTCAGAAAGAAAGACACATATAGAATAAAAGTAGAGGAATGGAAAAAAAAATATTTCATTCACATGGAAAGAAGGAAAAAAGCTGAGGTGGCAATACTTATATCTGACAAAATAATCTTTAAAACAAAGGCTACCTGAAACTGGTTTGGCTCAGTGGTAGAGCGTCGGTCTGCGGACTGAAAGGTCCCAGGTTCGATTCCGGTCAGGGGCATGTATGTTGGTTGTGGGCACATCCCCAGTAGGGGGTGTGCAAGAGGCAGCTGGTCGGTGTTTCTCTCTCATTGATGTTTCTAGCTCTCTATCTCTCTCCCTTCCTCTCTGTAAAAAATTAATGAAAATATATTTTAAAAAAAAGACACTACATAATGATAAAGGGAGCAACCCAACAAGAGTGTATAACCACATGTAAACATTTATGCATCCAACAAAGGAGTACCTAAATATATAAAGTAATTCTTGATGGACATAAAAAGAGAGATAGACAGTAATACAATTGTAGGAAGGGATTTTAACACCCCATTGACATCAATGGATAGATCTTCCAGACAGAAAATCAACAAGGAAAGGGTGGCCTTAAATGACACACTAGATCAACTGGATTTTTTTAAATGTATTTTTATTGATTTTTGAGAGAGAGGAAGGGATAGGGATAGAGAGATAGAAACATCAATGAGAGTGAAACATCAACTCCTGCATGCCCTCTACTGGGGATCAAGCCCACAACCCTGGCATGTGCCCCGACCATGAATCAAACCAGTTTTGGGGAGATTAGGAAGTCATGCACTGAGAATCCAAGGTGACACCTTTGAATATTTTAGTAGCAAGTGGTCCACTCATAAGACCATGGAGATATTGCGGAAACTCTGAGATACAATACAATGAATTTTTTGGACGGGAGGTCTCAGCAGAAGTCTGTGCAAGTGGAAGATCTGTTCAGCACAGCAGTGATCAAGTCCATGCTGTCTGCTACCTTCCAAGTACTGATTCTCTTTTTCCTAGGATAACGTGAGCCAAGTCCTTGATATCCTCAAAAGGACATCAAGGTCAGAATAGTGAAAATACTTATATTTGTTTTAGAGGATGTTAGAGATTCTTCTGAGCACAGCGAGGCTTGGTGCCTTGGGATCGAAGTCTATGGTATAACAGCCAGTAACTGAGCAGCAGTCCATTGGACCACTCACCTTGATTCAGGACCAGGGCAACCTGGCTTAGTCTCTGTACTTCCTTTGGGAAAAGGCCACGAGTCATCACCTTGGTACTGATGAGAAAGCTTCGTGAGTAAGGTAGACATGTTAGAGGAAAACAGACATGAAAAAGAAAGGAGAAGGTTCTGAGATACTTCTTAAAGACCCCTGGATTCTGCAGGTTCTGTTCTTTTGTCCCTCTTGGCACAGGAGAGCCCATGCCTTGGAGACTCTCAAATAGAGGTATGTTAAGCATTGTTTTCTCTGCTCAAGAGGCAGTTATAGTGCTGGCCACCAGAGTTTCCTGAGTCCAGTGGGTTCAGCTGGAGCAACTTGCCTCTTATTGCCCTTTTCCAGTTCCAGCAAGATGTGTGCCACTTATTATTAGAATCCCTCCCTAATATCTAATCTGTTTAGTGGTAGAATGTTTTGTCATAGCTCTTGCTTCAGTAAATGTGCCCTGAGAATGTGAAATGTGCCAGTACTATAAAAACAATGTCCTTTCCCTATAGGTACTCAGAAAAACAAAATTGACAATTCCACTTAACAAAAGCAAATAAAACAACCTACCTTACACTT